GCGCACCGGGCATGTGCGGCGTCCCGCTGGGGCTAACAGATGGCCTGCCCGCGGCACTGCGCACAGTCACGCGTGCTGGCGCGCGCTGGCGCGTTGTTGCGGTGCCGCTGGGCATGAACTGATCGCAGGCGCACACTGGGCAACGCTGCGGACTACCACTGAACGCGTATTGCACGTTGGCGTGCGTTACGGTACGCTGACTCGCATGAAGGGGAGGGTTGGCGTGCGCACGCGCATCACCAACGACAATCTATAGCGGTACCAGCCTTACGCGGCACTCCACCGCGCAGTACCTGCACTGCACACCTCTTGCCGGTACGCTGCTACCGCGATAGGCGGCCAGCGCACACACGACCAACACCCGTCGGCCGTTCGGCGTTTCTTTCCGACAACTTCAACATAAAATAACCTCACATGACTTAACATGAACTTAATTATCAACCTGACTTAAAAACGTAACTTTTGCACGATTAACATGAAAGGGCCGTGGCGAGCGCGCCGTGCGCCGCCGACGGCAATACGCCGTCTTCCGACCAAAACACCTTCTCCCTTGGCAACTCCAGAACACATAAACATGAACATTATTTTGAGGTAATTTAAGACATAAACACACGAACGAACATGATCATTACTGAAGGCAATAGGACATGACCCGAGGCTGCCCGTGGCCACGCGCGATAAGCGCTAGCGACGGCTTGGGCCACTTCATCGTTAGAACATCATTTTTCCTCGACTAACATGGACTTACTGGACATGAAATACTCTAAACTGAACAATTAAACGTAGATAATTCGAGAGTTGCCGGGTAAAACGAAAGGTTATTCGATCACGATTTAACTTAGGCCTACTCGCACTTTAGTACGGCCTTACTAAAAATTCTCGAACGTGAATCGAACACTTTAACTTAAGATAAACTTACAGCCATAAACATAAGTCGAGGACGACTATACCTTCGTAAATACTCGCCGGAATATCGAAATTGCTCAAGTCCTTGCGTGTGCGCGCCGGTGCGGTACTCGTCGTGCGTAGCTACGTCAATTGCTGTGCTTTGAATATGGAAGTTTTATGGAATTTGCTTCAACTTATTGCTTCTGAATATGGGAGGAAGTATGCTGAGAATTGCTTATAGGAAAAATGAGGAATTTTCGATCCAAACGCCCCCTTTTATACTAGGCCGTGCGTGGTTGATGATGACATAGTGAGGATGTGGCCACATCTTTGCTTAACACTTGTTAGTTGGCTATGGCTTTAAAATGGATTATTCATCCCTAATTCACTCTCCTAATGCCACGTCCCAAGACTTAACATAGAAGGCAAAATATATTGCTTATGACTTGGGAAAGTTGGCACAAATTAAAACATACACATACTTATAGCTCACGGCCTTAGTGAAAAAAATGGGGAAATTGGCTTATTACTCACGGCTTTGAGCCCTAATGGTGTGATTAATTATAATTAATCACTTAATTTATGTTTAATTATTTAATTAAACATAATGCTTAATTACCAAAATTATTACGAACGTAAACGGTATGTCGAAAATAAATTTCGGTAATCTCGACTGAAAATAATTAATTCTGATAATAATAATCGATAACATTATTATATCGGAATTAAAACATAATTAATACCGATAAAATATCGGGATATTACAACCAGACTGGCTTTCGACGGTTTCTTCATGAGGAAGTATAGGAGGATTGCGCCCGACGTCGGTGCGACGTGTAGTTTGTTCTGGAGGTGGTTGCGACGCTCTATCACGAGGTTGAGAGGTTGCGTGAGACGTAGTTCTTCCGCCTTCTCGCCGCACCGGTGGATTCTGCGGATTTGCAGGAGTCGTTGGTATTATAGAGTGTCCCGGGGCAGTCGTCGATGTTCCGGGGATCGTTTGAGCCATCAGAGCGGCGAAACCACGTGCAAACTCCGGATTTTGAAATAGAATAGTGTAATCCGGCCTGCCGTCTGGCGGATTGGGCAGCGCTGCGACTGTGGCCATCTCGTGAAGTATTACCACGATGATCTGAACGAGACATAATGGATATGGCTGATGTGAATCGTTATTTGAGAGAGCGGAGATTAACCTCAAATCACTTATGAGGCCCTCCTTCTAGCGCCAAACTGTTGTCATATGATTCTTAACAACGATTTAAGGTAGAGTTTATGAGATAATTTCAAGTGGTTTGAACGTAAATCATGCAAGAAAAAACTCAACAATGGCCCCGGTCCGAGGTGAACTGAGGTGAAAAGCCTGTATGGGCTGCTTCGCGTTTCATTGTTGAAATGTTCGGTTTTTTTTAATCCCTTTACAGGCATGGTTGCGTCATTATTTATAGTAACCCTTTTGATATATACATTGGGATTCGTGTATTATTTTCAGCATAAAGTAACTTTTGGTGGGCGGTTGGAGCAGTGGGTCCCACATGAATGATGACAAATCTCGTAGATCGTGATAGGGGTGTAGGCGCCTCGTCACCTGCTTTAGGAGGTGACGACCTTGGTTTATGTTGACCTCGGTTTGGAATGACTTCGGCGGAGGATGAGCCATTTCGGTCTTCTTGAGTCGTATCGGTCTATTGCGCGAACCGGGATGACTTTAGGCTATGGTAATGTCTGAATCAAATTCGCTTATGGTGCTGTTTTGGGCTTTTAATTACGATTTACCGAGTCGGATGATAACATTATTGAGGAAATAGTTATTTTCACCCCGTTCTGAAGTCATAATAAGTTTTTCACACCACCCAATAAAAAGCTAAGTTTTTACCCCAAAATGTACGAAG